TAGGCATTTTTCACTTAACAAAATGTTTTTTTAATAAAATCTACAGATGCCCCACTTTTTGTAATCTGATATCTATAAAAGATTTTAAAATAGAAAAGTCCATCCCAAAATACGGGACATCCGATCGACGCAAATCAATCTAGGTTGTTGGTTGTTAACTGTAGCGAAAAGGTGGTGAGCATTTGGCACGATTTTCTTTCTATCCATCAATCAATCTAGTATGGGATATTACATCTTTGTTATGGACAAGTAGTAACTTTGAACGGCTGATTCCAATGCTGATGCAGAGTATCCAGTTATGGCTTGTGGGAAGTAGAATGGTCTCAGAAGGTGAGGACCTTAAAATTCCCTTAACCCATCCCAAGCCCAGTAAAGGAGGTGGGTTGGGTTAGCTAGGAAGCCAACGTAAAATTTTTGAACTGTAAAAAAAAGAATAATTTCCAAAACTATTCATATATCATTAGTCTAGCCTATCTGCTCGTGTTAGGGCGTTCCCCATAAGTGACGCGTTGTACTACAACTTTGGTACAATGAGAAATGAGCAAGCATTAGTTAGGGCATTCCCTAATAGTGATGCGCTCTATCGTCCCTCTGTTGTGGTAAAAAATAAGCATGGCTTCCAGTGACATTTTGAACTAGCACAGGTAAATAAGCTAGTCCAAAAAAATAGGATTCGTTTAGCCACATGGAATGTAGAAATGCTTACAGATAAGAGTTTGGAGTTAATGGATACAATGAGAAAAACCATAGTAACCATAGTTACTCTCTAGGAAAGTAAGTGGAAAGGAGAAAAAGCTAAGAAAATAGTTGGCTGTAAACTTTGGTATATAGGAAAGGATAATAATAGAAATGATGTTGGCAGAATAATACACAATTTTTTTTTAAATATATTAGTTAATGTCAAAAGAGTAGGTGATAGGCTCCTATTAGTTAAACTTATATTAGGAGAAGAGATAATTAACGTAATTAGTGCATATGCACCATAAGTGGACTAGAGGATAGAATGAAGAGCCAATTTTGGGAGGACTTGGGTGGATTAGTCCAAAACATTCCAAATGGAGAGAGGACCTTTTTAGGAAGGGACGTAAATGGTCATGTAGGGATGCATAATAGAGGATATGTTGGGGTATAAGGGGAATATGGGTTTGTTTAAAAGAAATGAGATGGGTGAGGCTATTCTAGAGTTTGCAATGGCCTACGACCTAACAATAGCAAACACTTACTTTAAAAAGCGAGATGACCTTTTAATTACCTATAAAAGTGGATCGTATAAAAGCCAAATAGACTTATTCCTAGTTAATAAGGTAGATCGACTAACATGTAATGAGTGTAAGATTTTTCCAAGGGAGAGTTTGACTACTCAACATAGACTCGTGTTCTGGACGTCTGCATAAAGAGATGGAAGAGGAGGTGAAAATAATAGGTGTCTAAGAATTAGGTGGTGGAATTAAAAAAATGAGAAAATAGAGTTATTATATAATAAATTAGTTAAAGAAGGAAAATGGAACTTTGAACATAAGGTCAATATTATGTGGAATGAGATTGTTGGCTATATTAAGAAAGTAGCAAAAGAAGCTTTAGGAGAAACTATAGAGAAATAAAAATATGATAAGAAAACTTGATGATGGAGTTATAAGGTTCAGAAGGTTATTAGTGAAAAACGATCATGTTATAGAAATTAGCAATGTAATATAAATGGTTAAAACTTTGAAGAATATAAAAATGCTAAGTAAAATGCTAAACAAATAGTAAATTCAGCAAAACTTAATGGATATTATAATCTATATAGTAAATTGAGAACAAGAAAATATGTAAAAATGTCTTCAAATCAGCAAAAATGAGAGAGAGAAAATGTAGGGATCTAGACCATATCAAATGCATTAAGTGTGAAGACCAAAGGGTCTTGGTGAAGGATGAAGAGGTTAACAAAAGGTGGAGAGTTTATTTTTTAAAATTATTAAATGACAAACATAATGAGATCACAATGGTAGATGGAACTGTTGGCATCAATGATGTCGGATATCATAGATACATTCATAGAATTAGGATATCAGAAGTGAAAGAAGCTTTGAAGAGGATGAAGATAGGCAAGTCTTTAGGACCAAATGGTAACTCAATAGAGGTTTGGAAGTACATGGGGGAGATCGGCATTGACTGACTGACCAAGTTGTTCAACAAAGTGTTTAGAACAAAGAAAATACCAGGTGAATGGAGAAAAAGTGTTGTGGTATCTATTTATAAGAACAAAGAAGACACATATAATTTTACAAAATATCGAGGGATCAAACTTATGAGTCACACTATGAAGTTGTGGGAGAGAGTGATTGAGCAATGACTAAGGCATGAAACGAATGTGTTAAAAAACAAATTCGGTTTTATGCCAAGGTGGTCAGCAATTGAGGCTATTTTTCTACTTAGGCAACTAATTTGCGAAGTTTAAGGTGAAGGAAAAAGATCTCTACATGGTCTTTATTGAGCTAGAGAAAGTTATAATAGAGTACCTCGAGATTTAATTTGGCAGGTGTTGGAAAAGAAATGAGTCTCCAGATACTACCTTGACTTGGTGACAGATATATACGAGGGAGCGCTAATTGTTATGTGGACAACTAGTGTTTTCAGTGACAAGGTCTACATCAGAGGTTAGCGTTGAGTTCATACCTCTTTGTCTTAGTCATGTGCGACTTAATGAGGCAGCTACAAGATCAGGTACCATGGTGTATGTTCTTCGCAGATGACATAGTTTTGATCAATGAGATCCGAAGTGGCGTCAACATAAAGTTAGAACTTTGGATGGATGTTCTAGAATATGAAGGTTTAAAAGTTAGCCAAACTAAGACAGGTTATATGGGATGCACATCTAGTAATAATAAGAGTAGAAACTGGAAGTAGTTAAGATTAACGGCTAAGAAATATCAAAAAGAGCTCACTTTCGATATTTTGCGTCGATAATATAGGAAAATTGAGAGATTGAGAAAGATATCGCACATAGAATTAATGTTGATTAGGCGAGGTGGAGATGTGCAATTGGAGTTTTATGTGATTGCCACATACCAATGAAGCTAAAGGGCAAGTTCAATAAGACAACTGTAAGACCAGCTTTGCTTTGTGGGGTGAAATGTTGGGCAGTCAAGAAACAATATATCCATAGAATGAGTGTAGCCGAGATGATAATGTTCAGATGGATGAGTGGCAAAATAAGAAATAGTAGAATTTGAAATGAATACATTCGGGAGAACTTAAGTGTGGTTCCAATAGTCGATAAGATGAGAGAAAGTAGACTTAGGCAGGCCGTCTATGTGCAGTGCAAGCTCAGTACAGCACCTGTTAGGAGTCCAAGTTAGTTCAAATAAAAGGCTAAAAAAGGGCAAGGGGTATGTCCAAAAGGACATGGTTGAAAGTAATGAGAAAAGGTATAGGGACTTATTGCCTCACTGAGGATATGGCTATTGATAGAGCAGAATGGCGGACCAGGATTTGTGTAATCGATCCCAAATAGTTGGGAAAATGATCTAATCATGATGATGATGCTTGGGGGATCTAGAAACATAGTTTGTCATCCTCAACAAAGACAAGCAAAAGTGATTTAGGCACTCAAGAATACCTGATTTATTGAGTAACTTCCACCTCGGATGAATCTTATTAGGCGTTTTTCAGTATGTGAGCTCAAATCTAGACCTATAAAGCCCTAATTATGCTGTCGAGTATCATGAGAATTGCTGGGATGTGCTCTTTATGGGCGTAATTGTCTGTAGCACCCAAATAGAACTACGCATCAGTTACATGTACAAAAGGCCTTCCTTCATGGTGGCCTTCAAGAGGAAGTATACCTATTACCCATTATTTCCATCTGCTTCATAAAGTACTTTATGAATTGAAGCAACCACCCAAAGCATTGTCTGACAATTCAGCATGCACACTATAGAGCGCCAAATGTCATAGGCTTAGTGTGCTCTCTATTTTCCTGAAAGAGTATTATCTCTTGTTTATGTTGATTATGACATTCTCACATGTCACAGTGAGGAGTGTACTTGAGACCTTGAGGCCTATTTGCATTAAGCAGCTTACCATTAAAGACTTGCATTGAATCCAGTGCGTTTTAAGGCAATTGAGGTAGTGAAATCAATCTGAATATCGTATTTCACGGTGCAACTATGTCCTAACGTACTTAATGAGACTGCAAAGGTAGGAGCAAAATCTGTTGACTCTCATAGTGCAAAGCCTCTTGAATTTTATCCTTTGGACTGCTTGCCCACCATGTACTAGACTCTAATTGCACATATTCTGGGTTTTCACTTTATTTTGTTGGACCATCTAGTTGTTCTACTTTATGATTTTTACTCATTTAATATGCTTCGCCCATAGTGTAGGATGTCTTAAATGAGAGCACTATGCTATCTTTCATGGTAGAGGATCATTTAACTACTACTAAGATGGCATTCAGGGCGCCAGATGTGGATGGTTTCATAGCCAAGAGGAGTTATCAAATGCCATTGTATTTTGCAAATATGTTCTTAAATCTTCCTCGAACCATTACCCACAATGGTTCTAGTAAAAAACATTTGTGTTTACAAAGGTGTAAGGACAACAAGATGCTCTATATTGAGAAAAGTACATAACAAAACCATACATATGTGCATACATACATGTGTATGACAGGATTAGAATGCCACTCTTTGATCTTATTAATGCCGAAGCTCTATCTTTAAAGTTTCATCATCCTTTATTCAGCTCAAACATCTTTTCTTCTGTTTTTTCAAGGTTGAAATTAGCTTTACAAACCAACACAAATGCACATACACACACTTGAACCTTACAACATTACCAATTCATTACAATATTACCAATTCTACATCCATATGAGAATTTGAACTGTGTTATGAACGTAAATTATATCCATATTTGGTTGCATGCTTTAGTATATCACTAACCCTGAAACATTGAGATTATCTGAAGGATGTTCTTGATCATTATCTAATTATCCTTTTATGTATTGAACATAGGAACCTGTTGCTAGATGATGGAGGGCATTTGAAGATTGGAGAGTATTGGATACAGATGCTATATGGCCAGAAAAGTCCTCATGAAAATTCATGTAGTATGGAGGGAATGGTAGAGATTGGTAAGATAATGACTTCTTTATTAGTCACTCTTGCTCAGTGTTTTCCTATTTCTCTATTTGGTACTTATTATGGTTGTTCATCATCTAAGCTTTAGATGTTTCTCTTTTGCTAAATAATAGTTTCCTTCTTGATAGGTCAAAGAAATGGAGGTGATGATTTCATTCAAAATTTATCATATGCCACTGGGAGAGATTTGTATTCATTTGCACTCATTTTCTATGAGGTATACATGAATGATATATGCACGTATCTTCATGATGCGAATTTTTCCGATGTTGGTAGAAATCGTTTCCTTCTTTTTAAAAATGAGCTATTGAGACCTCTACCTTTAAATAAAGTATAAGAGTTTGAAACTCCTTTTATTGAGATTAGTGAATTGGAAGAAACTAGACTTTCATTAATTAGATCAGCGATTTAATACATTATATGGAAGTCCATATGTATAGATGTTTTAAAATATTAATAAAGATGAAAGGGAAAAAACAGAGTTAACTAATTATAATAATCTCCCCATCATAAGAATATGGATAACTACTATAAGCTCTATATATATATCCCCACAGCACTTCATATTGGATCGTGAGCTGATGTGTATGATTGTTTGTTCACCAAGTAGAGGTGCCTGATTTATAGTGAACAAAATCCACTAATTGATCTTCTGATATAATGTCTTGGAGACCATAATGACAACAACATGTTTCTTTCTTATTATTTATTAATATTATCTGCCCACTATATATATTTGGTGTGATGCATAATTTTAGCAATTCAAATATCCTGGTCTTAAAAGAAGACTGTATAGATTATATTAACCCTTAAATTGGTGAACAGAGAAGAAATCCATATATTCTTACTATAGGATGTAAACAAGTTGTAATTTTTGGACTAAGCTCTAGATGAGACATTGTGCCTTGTTTCTTGTTGCATCAAGAAATAAATGGATCTCTAGCCATTATTGGTTGTGGATCAAGCAACTTGCCCAATAAGAATCTGCATTTGGTTTCAACTGAAGCTCTAAAGATGGTCCCATATACGACTACACTTCAATATGAGCTGGTGTTTTTATTGATATGGGAACTAGTTTTATGTGAAAGTACCCTGACAATTACCTTTTCATTATTGTCCTGATCCGAGATGAAAGTCTTCCAAATAAAGATGTGCATATTTTCAAATTTACAAGGAGATCACTATCCCTTTATGAGAGATTAATATTCCTCAAAGTCGCATTAGCTACCTCTCAAAATAAGGGTTCATGAAATAACATACAACAGATGGCTTCTGTTAAGTGCAATAAGGCTGCCCAATGGTTGGAGAGCCTCTTAAGTTCTAGGAAATATAAAATATTGCTTGTGTTCGTTGGGGAAAGCTCAACTTGACGTGCAACAGAAATCTCAAGGATCTGCAAAGCTCCATAAATCCACAAATTTAGGCCTTCTGCTTTTATATTTAGAACCAAACTAGAAATACCATGTGTGTATGTGTGTATGTGTGTGTGTGTATATAAATACATATATACATACATACATATAGTATTTTTGGTTTGGTTTACACCACCTGATATTCTATAGGTTACATTTAGAAAAAGGTGTAAACTTTTAAAATTACCTTAATTGTCCTGTTCTTTATTCCAAGGCTATAAAAAGAGTAAGGGTACTTTTGTAATTAGGAAGGGTATTGTTGATATTTTAACTAAAAGACAATGTTATTTATAGAGTGAAACTCTAGGTACTTTAATACTGTAAATGCCCTTGTCTGTTACTAAATATTTAAAACATGCCCTTCTCAAGATGACAAACATGCCTTGTGTCTTTTAGTAAATATATTATCAATATCCTTCCTAATGACAAAAATGCCCTCACTTATTGTATAATCATGAAATAAAAAAAGGCATACTGTAAGTAATTTTTACCATTCACACCCCTTTCTCTATGTAACCTATAGGATTTGATGGCCTGTGAACAATACAAAAACATTATATATATATATATAGGAAAACACTACAAAACGCCTAAAGGTGAAGCTTTACAGTACTTCACCTATGGCTTTATCACCGTCCAAAGTTTATCACATGGTCACAGATGTCTAATAGTGTTTCAATTTTAATATTTTTTTTACAAATCATAACGATCTGAAATTTTGTAGGTGTCTGCTCCTTAGTGAGATGCACATGACTAAAATATAAAACAAAAAATTTGAATGATTAAAATTACACAAAATACCCCTATAAAAATTCAGGGGTAATTTCATCATTTTATTTTATGTCTATTATTTTTAATATATTTATTTTGGTGCGACTTGATCATATGTACACCCACCCCAAATTTTAGATAAGTCTTATCAATACAATAATTAAGAAAATTCAAATACTACTAGACAACTGTGATCGTGTGATGTACTGTGGACGGTGATGAGGTGTAGAAGTACTGTAAAACTTCACTTATAGGCGTTTTGTAGAT